AAAACCCATAAGATCATTTTAAAAGAACAAGAGACAAACCCACTTTCAAAATCGCTCAACTTCTTGAATCAACAATCATATTTCAAAACTATCAAATGATCACTCTTACCTTACACCAAAAAAGGAAAACTCACATATGAGGTTAGAATTCTTTTGACATTACATTTAATATAATTTGAATTGTACATGAAATTAGTAGATTAAAATTAATTAATTTTTTATACAGATATTATATATATAATATAATATATAATATAATCTGATAACATGAATATTAAACAGATCAAGTTATTATTGAGCCTGCATAACACTAAATTGACACAAATAACTTGTTTAATGAAAAATTATTTATATATTTTAGTATTCTAAGATGGCATTTTCTTCTGTATATAATTTTATCAAATTTATTAAAAAGTATATAAAATAATATTTGAAAAATATTAGAGACTTATAATTTAGACTTTTAAATTTATACACAATGATTTGGCAAGGAGTTACGCCTTATATGGTTGAATGTGTGACAAATGTTGATACCTATTATAACACATCATTGTAGATTAAATTGTGAGAAGTTTTTTGGGTCGTCAAACCTTTTTCATAGGATTTTAAAAGACTAATATATGTTTTTGGTTTTGGTTTTGTTTTTAATTGAACATTATGTATTTTTCGTCTACAATTTGAGTTAATCTAGTAAAAGAAATAATAATAGGATATAATTTTTATAAACTAGGAAAATAAAATTGAGCTCAAACCAAATCTTCTAATGAATAATTTCATTAAATAGAGATTAGTTTTGTTAGATTTAACTTGTAAATTATTTTTAATTTTTTTTTTCATACAGTTGATACTTTTAGTTAATGATATATATATATATATATATATATTTTGGACTTGACACATTAATACTGTTGAGGACTTAAAAGAATAAATTTTATTAAAATTCTGAAAACAAAATTTCGTCATGAGAAGAAAAAAAAAAAGGTGGTCACATTGTCAAATATTCCCGGTTATAAAAATTGAAAAATATTTTTTATCCGAAGGCTCATAATAAATATATTTGTAAAAAAAAAAAAAGGATTAAAGGCCATAATCGTAAAGGCCAAAAAAATGAGAAAGATCAATGTTTACTATTTTTCAAATGAATCAACCATCTCAACAAATGAATTAACATATGAGTCTTATGTTGAAAGGGTTGATTCATATGTCAATAGAACTCAATAAAATTTATTATTATTATTATTATTATTATTGGAAAATAGAACTATTGAATAAATGTCTAAAAAAATTCTTCCAATTTTCTAAAGGTCCACAAAACATTTACTCAAACAAAGACCCAGGTAAAAATAAGGTGTCTAAGTAAACTACCAAAATTTATTTTCAATATGGGAAACATAAATTGTGTATAAAAATTATTTAAATATAAAAGAAATTTTATTAAAATTTTACTTTAGACTTTATCAAGGTTTAGGTCCGGCCTGTAGGAGAATCAAACACACATTATGACGGTGCCAACCACCTTATACGGTAAAAGGACACATTTACCAACTTACTTGTATGTCACCATAAGCCTACTTTTCTACTCATATTGGGTTTCTGAAAGTCTATTTTTTGTCAATACAAGATGTAAGCAAAAATATCACACAATCATCATATTTGAATCATTTTTACTTAAAGTGTTTTTCTTTCAAATTAGGAGGAGTAAAATGAATTTTATTCTTTATATCTTATAGAATTTTATTCTAAGAATTGCTGTTACTCAGTGCAGCAGATTATCTGCAACATTCAAGAGATTCGGCTTGGTTTCTAGCTATCACTGGTGTTAAGCTGAGGATGGCAAATGGTCAGACTATGGTGAAGGTGAAGGGTGAATTTCTGGTTTTTTCTGATATTTTGCTCTGTTGTTGATCTGTCTGCCGAGCAGTTTTGATGTCATTGGATGCTGGAAGTCTTTTTGACTCTTTGGATCAGGATATGTATCATAAGGGCTGCTGATGAATTGGAGTGAATCTAGTTGCTGGTAGTTGCTGTTGCTGCTAATGGTTGCTGTTACTCTTGGTTTTGGGCTGATGGCAGTTGCTGTTGCGTTTTGCTGCGGCAGAATTGTTTGGTGCTGTGTTGATCTGAAGCTTTGGTGTTGTTTTCATATGCTTTTTGTCTGTTTGTGTCTTGGGTTTGAAAACAGTGGTCACATTGGTGGGATGGTGCTGTGGGTGGGATTTTTGTTTTGTCATTTGTTGTTTTTTTTCTTTGCTTTGGTTGGTTTCTCACCAACTTCGGATTGTGTGCTTGCAAGGGATTGGGCAGTTATATTGGTGCCAACCTAGTTATAATTGATGTCTCATGATGTTTTTTGCACCCATTTTTTCTCCTTTCTTGATGTAATGAGTTCCTTTCATCAATAAAGGTTATTTTGGCTGATAAAAAAAAAAAAAAAAAAGACATCAAGAATTTATATACTCTAACTCAAAACCATAACCACAATTTCCTCTTACTCAAGTAAAAACCATTGGCATATATATATCTCAACAATAATTTTTTTCTAAAAAAATGCTTCGGACCTCCATTGGGGGTCGACCCCCAGTGAGGTGGCGCATTATGATTGGGCAAAAAAAAAATTTATTTTATTTTATTTTATTTTTTTTGAGTTTTGGCCAGTGGGGGCTCGCCACCTCACTGGGGGTGCGACCCCCACTGGGGGTATGCAGCAAGACTCTTTTTTCTATAGGATACCCAGACACTTGTTTGTCCCAGTAACCTGTATCTTGCTTGAACACGTTCATAAAACATACAAACAAATCAATATATAACATACTATCCAACCTAAATGAGACATAATCCCAAATGCATCCAAATATCAAACATTTGTAAATGTATTCAAATATCAAACAATCCAAAACATAACGATTCCAAAATATCTTGAAATAGCCAACCATCGCAAACGTAACAATTCCAAAATGTAACCAACCCAAAATATAACAACTTCAAAACATATCTGAATGTCCAACAAGAACAACACGCCGAATGACCATAAACTTTTATCTTCAATGACCATATCATGCCGAACCACGGATGTCCATCACCAATCTATGTCAACAAAAAGACAAAAACGTAAGTATCTTATCAATGTATTAACTCCAAACTATTATACAATAATACTGTTGAAGTTAAATGAATTCCTTAGCTTTATTTCATTTTAACATATCAAATGTTCAAACATGCAAGTTTGAGCTTAAATTTCAAACTGCAGTCACATATTTGTTCCATTAACTTCTAGAACTTAATTTTATCCTTACTGTGGTATTCATACGAATTATTGGGTATTTCTATGGATATTTTACAATTTTTCTCGTTGAACCCTTATTTTGAAGCCTAAGTGTTAAAAAACATATAAGTTTGAACTTAATTTTCAAATTGGAAGTCATGTTGAAGCAGCGGAATATATCACATGAAATTAGATAACGTTCTAGCGAACAAAAAACATATTGAATCCACAAGAAATAATGAATTCTCAAAGAGAAACTGAATTATATTACATAAAAATTTATTTGCCCCAAGGCATGCATCATTATTTATAATAAATGAAACCCTAACCAAACAATAAAACAAGGAATTAGGCTAATTCCTTTCTAGGCACGAAAATAAATAAAAAATTACCAAAAATATAAAATTTGGGTTAAGCCCAAATCTAAATGCTAAGATATATTGGAAACGCGCCAAAACAAACGGCGCAAAAAACAAATTTCTCAAAATAAAGTCTTAAAATAAAGGGAAAATGTCTCGTAGCTCAAATTTTGTGGCTCAAAAGTGGCTCAAATGGCCAAAACGACGTCGTTTTGGCCATTTTTATGTTGTTCTGTACTCAAAACGACGTCGTTTTGGCCATTTGAGCCACTTTTGAGCCACAAAATTTGAGCTACGTAGCATTGTCGAAAATAAAATAATTGCTAAGACCAAAATTTTCTACGGCAAAATTACTAATTTCAAGTCCTAAAAGAAGAAATTTTGCTAAAATCCACCGGCAAAATTACTAATTTCAAGTCCTAAAAGAAGAAATTTTGCTAAAATCCACTATGCATCATCACCGAGGACAGCAATTACCCTCAGTTTGACTTCTTCATCACCTTTTACTAGTTCAGTTGTTCCAAAAATTCCTCAGCTATTTATTCTACATCACCTATGCTTATTCCACTAGCTTCTACAAGTTACTTTTGTTCTTACTAAAATGTTCGCACCAATTCCAAGGGAATTTCGTGGATATTTCATAATTGTTCCATTCCAAAGTTTATTTTCAAGCTTAACTGTTCAAAAAAAAACACAAGTTCAAGCTTAATTCTGAAATCATGAGTCTTGTTATTTTTTTGTTTGTTTTTGAAAGTTACTTTTATCCTTGTTAAGGTGTTCACGCTAATTCTGAAGCATTTTCATAGAGATTTCACATTTTGTCACTCGAACACTTAATTTTTAAGCCTAAATGTTTAAAAAAAATGTAAATTTGAGCTTATTTTTCAAATCAGGAGTGTCATGCTTGTTCTATTAATTTTTGCATGTTACTTTTATCCATAGTAAGGTGTTCATGCCAATTCATAGACATTTTCATGGACATTGCACTATTTTTCCCATGAAATGCCTGTTTCCAAGCCTAGGTGTTCAAAAGAAAGTTTGAGTTTAATTTTCAAACTTGAAGTTTCATACTTGTTTTGTTAGTTTTTAAAAGTTACTTTTATCCTGATTAAGATTTTCATACCAATTCAAAGGCATTTATATATATATTTCATGATTTTGCCCTCCAAATACCTATTCCAAGTTTAAGTGCTTAAAAAAACACATGTTTGATCTTATTATTCAAACTGAGAGTCCCGTGTTTATTTCGTTAGTTTCAACAAGTTACTTTTGTCTTATTTTAAAAGTAACCGTATCATTTGAAAGTTAAGGACAACATAGTTATGTATTCTCATACTATTGAAGTGATGGTATCCCAACACCACTAATTAATTTCTTGGATTAATGGTTAGTGGTTAAACAAGTTTTGGTCTTTTTACTATTGTTAGCCAAAAAGCTTGATGTGGAGCTTGTTAATATTATTGTTGCATGACACATCACAGTCAACAAAGGAGCATATAACTACAGGCTTATCTAAAGAATATATTAACTTTGAAAAACTTCCAAGAAGGGCTATTTGGAATGAAATCCTATTTGATATTGCTTCTACTTTCTTTAATTCTGTTAGATTTAAATTTTTATCACCAATCTAAACTATTCAAACTTGGTTAATTAATATAATGCAAGAGTCATTCCACTTATTGCCAATTGGTTTTGAGTTGAATGTTTTAACATAGTATCAAAGCTGGGTCTTGGGTAGCCTCTTACATCATGTGGTACAAGCGGTCTATCTCTCAATCGGACATTTCAATCACCTCCACGTGCTATCGGGTAGCACGTGAATGAGAGTGTTAGACTAAGACCCACATCGACAATCTAAACTACCCAAGCTTAATTAATATAATACAAGAGTCTTTCCACTCAATATCAATTGATTTTGAGTTGGATACTTTAACAAATTCTATGTGAAAAGTAAAGAGAATATAGAAGTAGTTGATCTTGATTTTCAATGCAACAATTAGTAACTACAGCAATGCTTTTATACAAGCTTTATACAATCCTAACCTAATCTTAACCTGACTTATAACTACCTAACCATCTCTAGTTAACTGTTCTAACAACATAACAGCTTTGATTAATATCTATAACAAACTAACTGATCAAAGATACGCTAATTGATCAGAGATAAACGCGCAGGTGCAGTTAAGTGTGAGCTGCACTAAGCTAGTTGAGCTTCTTGACCTGCTTGGTCTTGAGACTGAACAGATGAGCCAGTAGGTTCTTTATCAGTCCCCTTCAAACTCATAGGACTGGGAAGGACTAAGAGTTTGCTTTGAAGATATTGAAAGCGAGCCACTGAGAGAGGTTTAGTGAAGATATCTGCAATTTGATCAATAGTAGGAATATAAGCAATGTGTAGAGTCTTAGCAACAACCTTTTCTCAAACAAAATGATAGTCCACCTCAATGTGTTTTGTACGGGCATGAAAAACAGGATTATGAGCCATAGCAATAGCTGAAAGGTTATCACACCACAGAGTAGGAACAGGGGCAGAAACATGAAGCTTAGTAAGGAGCATACCAAGCCAATAGAGTTCAGTTGAAGTCTGAGCTAAGGCTCTGTATTCGGCTTCTGAGGAAGATCTGGACACAGTAGGCTGCTTCTTGGTAGTCCAAGAAATGAGATTGGGACCAAGATAAATGCAGTATCTAGTTGTAGATCTTCTGTCCAGAGTACTACTAGCCTAATCTGAATCTGAGTAGGCATTAAGAAGAACAGGGCCACGAGAAATGTGGACCAGGGGCCAAGGTACCTTTCAAATATCTAAGCAACCTTTTCACAGCAGCAAAGTGACAATTTAAGGGAGACTGCATGAATTGACAAGCAGTGTTGACTGCAAAAGCCAAATCTGGTCGAGTGATAGTGAGGTATTAAAGAGCACCTACCAAGCTTCGATAAAGAGAAGGTTGAGAAAAGGGTGAGACATCTTCAGAAAAGAAAGTGGAGCATTTAGAAACCATAGGAGAGGAATAAAGTTTGCAATTACTCATGCCAACTTTGGCCAAAATCTCTGATGCATACTTGTATTGACAAAGGATATAACTTGAGGAAGACTGGATGATAGAAACACCTAGGAAGTAATTAATAAAACCAAGTTCCTTCATGGAGAATGTAGTATGCATTTGCTAAATGAGAGTTTAAATGTAATGAGGATCACTACCTATGAGTAGAATATCATCTACATAGATGAGAAGGAGTTTGATAGGTTTGAGGTTCAACAGCAGCAGTAGAGTTAGTAGTAAAGGCAGCAGTGAAACAAGTGGGATTTTTGGTCTTAGATCTAGTAAGCATAGGATGAGTATGAGTGAGAAGACAATGAAGATCAATAACAATAGAAAAGATAGGAATTTGAGGTTCAAAAGGAGGAATGGATGATTCAAAAGGAGTTGGAACAGATAAAGACAGAGGCAGAGCAAGTGATCGCTGATGGACAGAAAAAGGTGGTTGCTGAGGCAGAGCAAGTGACTATTGAGAGACAGAAATAGGAATTTGCTGAGGGACATATATAAGAGTGGAGGAAGTTGTAGGTAGAGGAGATGTCATGACCCGAACCCGCCCCCATGGGTTAAGGACATAACCGGCCAGTAATCGGGAGATTACCTATGGCCTTAAACCAAATCAGACATGTTTTAACAAAGTTAAGGGGGCCAAACAGAAGCAAATTCAAAACTTTTGTCCATAGAGTTGTGCTTACATGGCACCTCATAACAATCCATACATATACATGTTAATAAGTCACATCAAAATATGTAATAACACAAGTTCTATACATACAGGATCATTCAAGTCATGGTCAGCCAATCAAAACTATATACAACTGTAATCCAAAGTTCTCGCCAATATAAAAAAATATAACAAAATAGCAAAAGGGCGAAAACAAGTCTCGTGCGTGAGACGTATGGGTTGACTCTTCAAAACCTTGACCGTTTCACACAAAATTCACTGAGTCTGGGTTTGGACCTCTCTTGGCTCACCTACAGACACATGAATGAGCGTGAGTGAAAGCCTAGTGAATAATATCAATAAAGAATATACACGAACGGTATTTAGAACAACATGCATTAGACGGCCTTGGGCTCAGTTCATGTTTCTATCTAGTATATATATATATATATAAATATAGGTCAAGTGACTGTGGTTCCAAACACATCGAACGGCCTCAGGCCCAGATCATTCACATTCGACGGCCTTTGGCCCAATCGTTCATGTTCGACGGCCTTTGGCCCAATCGTTCATGTCCGACGGCCTTTGGCCCATTCATTCATAATGTCAGACGGCATTTGGCCCATTCATTCATGTCATACGACTTTTGGCCCATTCATTTATGTCAGACGACCTTTAGCCTATTCATTTATGTCAGACGGCCTTTGGCCCATTCATTCTTTCATTCATGTCAGACGGCCTTTGGCCCATTCATCCTTTCA